AGTAACCGCGATAGCTTTTCCATCGTATTTCCGCTGCTGATGTTCCCGGTAATGTTCCTCGAGGAGCGTTCTTGGATTTAATAAAGTTCGCGAAGCGGTACGTCAAATCGAAATTCTGCCCGTCTTACTCCTCGCCTCTCTATTACCGGCGAGATTGGAAAGGGGTGGCCTTGTATCCCCTGGCGGACAACATTGCGCGGATATGCTACTACGTTATTTAAAAGGTATACCGCTCGTGCATCGCTCGATGATTCGAGAGAGGTATGTACAATGACGCTTGCTCGCTCGCTCGCTCGCTCGTTGCGCTCAACGGGGCCGCCGCGTCGCCCCTCGCTCGTCTTTCCGTCCCCCGGTGCGGAGGGTGCGCGAGGGTTCCACGAGGGTGGAAAGAGTCGTGGCGAGGGAAAGCGTTAAGAGCAACGGTATGACGAGTTCTCGCCCGCGCGCTCGTCTCGACGTTCGTCGCGACGTCGCCTGAAATTTTCGTACGTCGGCGACGCTGGAGGAACGACGGCGAGCCGGCAGTCGATCGTTGCATATTTAACTGTTCCATCTCGGGGAGGAAACGCTATTTATGTAATCGTAGCGATTTCGACGCGGGGACGCTCCGCGCTGGACCCAGACGGATAAGACGCTCGCAGACACAAAGCGGCGTCTGTCTTTATTTATACGCGGCGACGCGGGCTCGAGTTCGTTAACTCATTCAATCGCGGCTTCTCCCTCATTGGGATTAATGCATATTACGTAAGTCGCGGCAGCGCAAGCCCCGGTCACGTATTCGCGCCGGAGTCACCGAGACGCCTTAAGCTAGCGCCACACTAGGCGCGATTCGTGAATAGTGTGGAAGAAAAATTCGTCGATTCGCCGTGCGCAATCTCTGAGAAAACAAGACATTAACCCACATTTGAGGCCCACAATTAGCAATCGAATTATTTGGATTGCTCGTAACTCTACTCTGGGAAAAATGTTGACCATTTTTTTAACATTTCGGTTAGTGCCTCTTGAGTGAAAATTATCTTTGCGTTACTGAATATCGACAGAACTAATTGAGAGAATTGATTGGTATTGCTTAGAAATCTTGGATACAGATGGAATAGCTAATTGCGATTTTTAGCTACGCGGGGTAAAAATCGTCAAAGATTAGAGTCTTTTTATTAGATTCGTGATTTCTGCGAATTTCTTCGCAGAAATCACGAATCGCGCATTACGAATTGCGCATGGTGTGGCGGTAGCTTTAGGACAGTGGGGTGTGCTTTTTTCTCACGCGGCATTCGGAACGCGTCGCGACCATAGACATGGTAAGAATAAATTACGCGTTCCCTACCTCTCCCGAGTTGAGAACATGTACAAACTTTAGAACGAGATAGCTGACAGTTGAGTGGAGTCTAAACAAAATCCTAAATAATAAGAGAAACGCAATCGGCGTCTCGCTTGCTGATTGGCTGACCGCCACATTGAGTAGCGTGACACGGGCTTAAGAGGAATGATAGAGGGCGAGACAGGGTGGACGACAGGGCGGGATGACAGAGAAAGGGCGGCCTCTCAAAGTATGTTATCTCTTTCTAAAGTTTGTACACTGCCAGTCCAGCCAAACGCGCAGTCTATATAGAATATATTATACGTCTATGGTTGCGACGCCGAACTCGCGCGATTGCATTGGCGATTTCACTTTTCACTCGTTCCAGCTTTTCGCAGAGGTCTTGGGCGAAATCAAGATACCGGCGCGACGGTACGCCGAGAGAATTTGCTCTTACAATTTATCCTGAAAATCATGTAATCGCGGGACCACACGGCATTTCGAAGGATCTTACACTGACAAAAAATCTTCGCCAATAATCGTAACTAGTCATGGTTTGCTAAAAATATTTTGCTGCCATAACTGTAAGTTTTTTTCTCAGTGTAAGCAATCCAGTAGGAAAAATAGTATCGTGTGTCGTTGGCTCAAAAATTTAAAACACTCATAAAATTTTACTAGTAAAATGTATGGTACAAGTTCTAAAAACTCTCACAAAATTCGAGATGCCACGTTGTCCCTCGATCACACGATTTTCAAGGTAAATTTTTTAAGTTCTCTCCGCGTATAGAAAAAGCCGGCGAGGATCGATTTTACGATTAAATCGACGATCGGCAGCTCTTATCGCGCGGCACGGCGGCTCCGCGGGCAGCCGAATGTATCGCAATTAAGATGTTAAACAGATGCCGAGCGCCGCTGGGCGTATTAATTAGCCGCCATTCATTCGCGCGATCGTCTATGAATCCGAAATGAGATCGCTCTTCGCCGTCGGGTCTTCCCCGCGATCGTCCCGCGCGGCTGCGGAGGAAGGGGGGGAAATTGGCCGCGGACTTTTCCCCGCGATTAGCAGCCCCCTCCCCCCCTTTCCGGGGCTTCTTTAACGCCCGACCCGTCGCCCACAATCCGGGCCGCGTTTCTGCGCGCGGCCGCTGAAACACGTTCATCCATCTTCCCGCGTCTCTCGCCGGAGAGACCTTTCAGGTTTACTGCGGCGTAAACAAGACCTCCCGCGCGAAAGGATCGTTTGCGCGCCGCCAAAGGGCGCAGCGTAAACCAGCTACTACTTTCGCGCGCGCGTCGACGCGATTCACCTACGACGCGGCTCGGGGCGGTCGTCGCGCGGAAGTTTCCCAGTTTAACGCGCGCCGCGGGTAAATTCGATCGGCGGGCGAAGGGGCCGCGGGTGGATAATTGGTTTACTCGGGGACGTATGCGTGTACCAAGTATCCGGCGAGAATTTAAATTCCACGACGTAAATGTGCCGGCCGGCAGCGTCGCGGGCGAATTCATTCGTCGCTGCCGTTTAATGGACACGCGCATCGACATATGGTACTGAGCAGAGCATCAAACCGAAACCGTGTTCACAGACGTGGAAATTTTTGGAGATATTTGCGTGGATCATTTAAAATGAGACACCCCGTATAGGACTCTATGTGTGGGCATAGTATAATTAAAATAAAAGCTTACGGAAAGTATATGCTATTCCCCCCTTCTATGTGTATAAGTTCTATGGCCCACACATCTCCTTTTCTCTCTCTAGGTCCCGGAACACGAAAGATCAAAGAAATCTTACCGCATGCCCCGTCCAGTACTATATATATATATCTCGATGGACACGTGGATATGTAGACGCAACGACGACTAAAGTTATTTACATTCCCGGCACCACGCCGGGAATATATAAATTGGGATGTGGCGCGGGCGACGAGGATTTACCACCGAGGCTCCGTTTCGCGGGGGACGTGCGAGCGACGAAGAGGGGGGGGGGAGGGGTGGATAAGGCCGCTGAAAGGCCGCTGAACCGGGGCGGCGACAAGTTTTCAAGATTATTTCGAATTAGTTTTAATTCGCCGTAATTGGCCGCGAGCGCCGCGCCGGATGCGGCGACGAGGCCGGCGGGGGAGCCGAAAATTCGCTCTAATTAAAATTGATAATCCCGGGGGAATGGTTATTACGTAAGTCCTCGGCGCTGCATCGGGAATCGAACGGGAGCCACCCCCTTGGAAAAGTTATCTACGGGATCGCGAGTTACGTCCAGCTCCGCCTCCTAACGGCGACGTCGTGCGATCGTCGCGCGGGCGCACACACATACGTCAAGTCCGTAACACGCACTTACGCAAGCCGCACAATTGCGCTGTGTTACGGACACGACCCTGTTCATTCTACTTTCTTGTATTACGCCGGGGAAGGGGGTGGGCGACGGCAATAAATAATCGCGGATACCCGCACTTCCTCGTACATGATACTCTTCGCGTAAGTTATGTCCACACATATTTCTGAAGGATAAAAGCTGAACAATATCTGCGCCGTGGACAAGTCTCGTTCATTGTGTCACGGCGCTACGTTAACTGTTGTGCGAGAAACGGCGGGAACGGCCGGGGAAGACAATAAGGTCAAGCGAACGGACGGGCAAACACTCGAGATTAATTGCTCCTTTCGTTTAAACTTTCATTTTATTTAGTCTATCTATTTCTTAAAGTAGAGCTGTGTAGAAAACGTACAAAAGGAGAGAAATAATGGACGCAGGTCTGTACGAGCGCGGATCTAAATAATCGGAGATAAACGGGTATCGATTTCGCGGCGTATAACGCGCGGTATGATAATTATCGTCGCGAACTGAATTGCAGTTAATAAGTCGATTACAGTCGTAATTTATCCACAGGGCGAGACCCGGTCGAAGGAGGACGCGGGACACCCTTCTGGAATAAGGAGCGGTGCCCGGCATTGTCTCGTCGCGAACAGTCGTTCCAAGTAAAACACAGCGAGGAGCCGGAGAGAGAGCTGCAAATAGACAAACGGATATCGAGATAGGCGGTCTGATAGAATATCGATAGCGGTATATCTCGAAAAAGGGGGAAGGGAACGGCGTCGCGACAAGACCGCCCGCCTCGTAGCGAGAGTGCGTTCATCTTGCGCGAATGCATACGCGCGAGGGGAGACGAAAGGGGGAGAACAACGCCAGGACGCGGGGCGGCGCGGGGTGGAAAAGGGAGAAACTGGCCTATCGAGGCCGGCTCGGAGTTGTTCGGAATCTATCGGTGGACCAGATTTTACTCGTACGTACGCACGTTCACCCCCGCGGCGCAACGACGTCGGGGAGGGTGCGTGTCGCTCCGCTCCGCGCGTGTGTGCGCGCGCGAGAGAGCGCCTCCTCTCTGTGTACGTACAGCCCGTCGCTAAGACACGCTTAACGACGCGCGGGGGACGCAGGCGCGGTCACGCTCGCGCACGAGCGCGGCGCGCGTCGCCGGCGCCGTCGTCGTTCCGCGAGGAAATTGATTCTGCGCGAAACGCGAACGGGGGTTCCAGCGGCGACGGAGCCAGCGGTGCACCACCAGAGAGAAGCCGGGCTCGGCGGGCCGCGCATACTCCATCCGCCGGGGAACGATTCCCGTCGTCGTGCTCGCGCAGAGATCCGCTCGTAACGCACGTAAACGCTCGGCCGACGAGCCCCGACCGCGGCGTATTATGTAAGGGGATGTTGCTCTCTCGCGCAACCCTTTTGTACGCGCGCCGCGCTGGCTGTGGCTGCTGCTGCTGCTGCTGCTGCTGCTGAAGAGGAGTAAGAGAGAGATAGAGAGAGAGAGAAAGAGCGGAGAGGTGCCTCTCCGACGACATGCGAAGAGACGCGTCCGACGCGACGACGACGGACGACGAGCGAGGATCGCAGACAGCCCTGGTGAGCGACGAGAAGCATCCATGGAACTGAAAATCCTCCTGTGGGTTCACATCGTGGGTGAGTTGCCGTCGCGACGCGACGCCTTCCGCACCCTCGCGGCCACCCGCACAGTGGTACGCGTCGGCCGGCACGCGTATCACGCAGAATCTCCCCCTACGTATCCGCCGACGATACTCGCCGTCGTCGACGGCATGCACGCGCCTCGGGACACCCTCCTTCGCTTCCCGCTCGCCCTCGATTCCTCCCGCTACGTCTTCCCGCTGGCCGTGCCTCGCATGGCACGTTCGTTGCCCCGAACGGACGGCATCCTACGCGGCACGTAGATTGATCCTCGCGGCCGTTCCTGCCGGCCCCCGTCCGCGCGCCGCCAGCCAACGTGGATCGTCGTCCGCGCGGACAGCCGTGCCGCTCCTCTCGAGGTGAACGAGGCGGACCGTTCTCGCGCGGCACGAGCCTGCACCTGCAAAATCCGAAAATAAGCCGAGTTAGCCGTGAACAAATATATTCGATTCGGGAACGAGCGTTTGCATTGACACATCTGAGCAAACATGTTGCGTGTACGTGCGCAAACCGACGGGATATAAATTTTGCACACTCGCATACATTTCGACTTTTCGGTCAGGCTATCGCATTAAATCCAAAATGAATTTATTATATTAACGTGGACGAAATTGAATCGCCGATATTAAGCGGGAAATTGAATTATCGCATCGCGAGCGCGTGGCGCCAAACTATAAAAATTTCAAGTTACAAGCGTGCGACTGTACATTACCGCCGTTAATTTAGCGCCGCCGTAAAATTCATGCCCGAGTGCTCTCCGGGTCAGACGCTTTTTCACGATATCAGAAACTTTCTCCATTACGGGCATTAGCATAAAGTGCACGCAGACACGATTACGCGGGGCCGAGAGTCGCCGGGGCCGCGGCGAGGGTGACGCAGAGCGCCGGGACCGTCTGTTCTTGGACGTCCTCGGGAGCTTTCCCGAGCCCGCGAGATATGGGCGTTGCTACGCGGGGGACACAGCGCAAAAACCGAAGAAGAGAGGATCCTCTTCGCCGCGAGCGCCGAACCAGCGGGAGAGCCCGCCGGTGCGTGTACCCGAGGAATGTCGGACGTTGGCGTCGGGGGTCGTTGCACCGTTCGCCATAAAACCGCGCGGGCGTTCCCCGTAATAGGGCATTAACAAATTTAACGAATTCCCATCACGGCGGTATATAATCGTATTAATGACATTCTGGCGAATGCGATTTTACGACGCGCTCTGGAGAGCCTCCTCCATTGCCCTCCCTCGTCCCCGCTCGAATGAGCTCGCGCGAGCGACCCGGCCTCGCCGAACTTCCTCTCTTGTGCGACACGCTTTCCCTCCTGGGTACCGCCGGCCGTCGCCGGGCGATCAGATATCTGATTATCCCGGGACTCCGCGACGCACGGCGACGATTCCCCGTAAATGGAGACTTCGTGCTCGCCGTCAGTCTTACGTCAATCCTGCTCGTCTCCTGGAGATTATATTTGAGAACAGCCCTGTCCTCGATGGGCGAACCTGCGATAGACGCGAGTTCTCTTCCGGTGGAAGAGAGAATCCTTTTCAATACGCACAGGTGACCGCGAGGACACAATTTGCGCGCGATAGACCGACGTGTGTCCTCGCCGCCCGGCGAATCGACAAATCCGGAAGATTGGCGAGTCGAAACGATGGCGAAATCGTCGGCGGGAGCTGACAAGAGATTTTTTTGTTTTACCTCTTGCACGTGGCGTGCGATTAATCACGCATTGAAATCGGCGAATTAAGACCTCGATGCGAGAGACGCGCGGAAATGATCGTTTCCTCGTCGCGATAAAAATGGACGGAGAGGGACGGCGGCGTCGGGGAATAAACCCGGAATTACACCATTTTCAATTCCCTCTAACAAATAATAACGTTTGATAAATGAAGTGTTAAAATGTATACTCCGCGCGAGATCGTGTGTACGTCGTGGAAACCTGCGCATCTGACGTTAACAAACATCTCGCTTGAAAACGAGTGCCGACGCTTCAGATTGAACGAATTCCGAAACTCGATATCAAGCGCGAGATATCTCGTCTGCATTAGCGCGATATTTTTACGAGCGGGGGATCGGCCGTATGAAAAGCGAGTTACAACCTTTTTCCCTTCTTTAAAATAAAATATAAAAAAAATAAATAAAAGAGAATGACGTAACTTTGTACGTTTGCGTGTTGCCGTTTATGACGCAGATAACGCACGGCGACGGCGGTGGCGGCGGCGGCGATTGCCCCGTTATCTCGCTTTATCAGTTTGTTACCAAAAATAGCGAAACACAGACAGCATTTCCGTTGACGAGATCTGACGCGTCAAAGTCTCGCGACGCGGCGCGCCGATTGTCGCCGGTAATTTTCGCCCGATCGTGCGCGAGCCCTTCGCCGGCGCACAAAAGATAAGCTCCCTATTGGAGCGTACAGGGACGCGTAAGCGTCGAAGCGCACGACGATACGGGCCTCCTCCCTTCCTCTCCCCCCCCCCCCCAAATGCGATCCGTCGCTTCGCTCGGCAGCTAATTAAGCCGATCGCTCTACCGAACGTCATATCCGTTCTGCAGATCCGTCCGCGCGATTGTCCGATCGGGCGCAATCGCATTCATTGCGCGAGAGCTGTCCGTTAAACCGAGCGTATCGCCATTAGTGTAAGCGAATTAAGCTGAACTCGCTCTCGTATCGGCGTCGAATATTCCGAATCGAGCCGCTGTCTCTCGAGCAGATTGATATTACCCACTTCACCATTGGGTACACCGGGCGAATGGAAATTATTGCGAAGCGCTGTTTGCGCGTCCACTTCTCCCTCTCCTTCTACCCACCCTTCTCTTTTTTCCTCCCGCGAAAGGGTGTAGAGCTAATATTACATTTGTCGTACGACAAATTTTTCAAGCGTGTTGTTTGGCTGCTGAATAGAACATTTCTAGACGCTCGAGAATTTTACTATCCTGCAGCCAATCGGTACACTTAACAAATTTGTCCTACGGCAAATACCAGCCTCAGGCCTTAGCCTGGTATTACATTTGTTGCTAAGCTTGTTGATTTGCTGCGGGATAGAAGAGTTATCGAGTATCTAGAAATTGTCTAGCTCGTAGCCAATCAACACGCTTAAAAACTTTGTCGTACGACAACAAGTTTCCAGATACTCGAAAACTTTCCTAATAAAAAATTGTATATTATACATTGTATAATCGTACGTTGTCGACCAGATTTTAAGCGTTTTGATTGGTTTATATAAAATAAAATGTTTCTAGACGCAGAGAGCACATTGTAGATTAGTCTTAAGACTGGTATTCTTGTCGTACGGCAAATGTTTTACGGCAAAGGGGACGCTGGAGTGATTCTGCACTTTCGGCGCCTTTTGCTCCTAGAACAAAAGTCCAGAATCACTCCAGCATCCCCTTAAGTGAACTGGTTAGCTGCAGGATAGTAAGATTCTCGAGTATCTATAAATTCTCTATCCAGCAGCCAATCAACGCGCTCGAAAAATTTGTCGTACGACACATTTTTTAAGCGCGTCGATTGACTACGAGCTAGAACATTTCTGGAGACTCGACAACTTTTTCATTCTGCAGCCAGTCAACGCGCTTGAAAAATTTGCCGCGCGACAAATGTAACATTTAGCCTAACGCGACGTTCGACTTTCTTCGAAAAAAAAAACTCGTTCAACGAGCCCGGGGCCCCCCATTATCGTCGTCGCGCGAAGGAGTCGCCTCACGAGTGCGTTACGACGTCGTGCGTGCTTATCTGTTTCTTTTGCGCGACAGCGCGTTCTTTAACCTCGACGACGATAGTCTCGGCAGGGGCGGGTCGCCACCTCAGACTCCCCCCCCCCCCTCTTCCCCCGGTCGTCAGTCGTCGCTCTGCTTGCCGCAAATCCACTTTTTATTAACGACTAACGACCGGCCGCGAGAGAGTGCTCCCGTGGTTTTGTAACTAAATACCCCGTAAGCTCTGTCAAGTGCCTCTAAACAGGGCTGGGGAATACATTACGCCCGAATCGTCACCACCCTTTAATGCGCCGGGGCAATATTTCCCTGCGATGCTACCCCCCCGAAGCAACTTCATCCAATCCGCGAAACTGCGGGCCGGGGCATTATATCGATCCCAAAGGGACGGGAAACGCGCTAAGAACTTCTCCCTCGGCGCGGAAACCTCGGTGACAGAAAAAAAAGAAGAAGAAATGTGTCGCATCGGTATCGCTGCGTATCCCATGAATCATTTACACGGGGAACTTTAATACCGCACACTCCCTTCGCATAAACAGAAATCTCCAGCTCGAGTTTGCTGACCACAAACTTTGCTCGTCTGATTGAATACGGTAACAAGTCACGACGCTGCGCCGCGCGACTACAAGTTTCCGCTTTCTCCCCCGCGAGAGAGAACACACGTTCGTAAAGTGTAACCCTAAAAAAGTGCACGATCAAGACTAGTATTCGTAGTCAGATCTTATATTCAAGACCGTCTCAAGATCTTCAGATACTCCGTAGCCAATTAAATGTTCCGTAATTAATACACAGAGAGAAAAAAATAGTCATTTTTGGAACCAACCATATTTTTATAATTCCTCCAACGTAATTTATGGTTGACCTAACAATATTGTAGTTCTCATAACCACAATATTGGTCCATGCAATTATAAAAATATGGTTGGGTCCAAAAATGACTATTTTTTTCTCTCAGTGTAACTCGTGAAACATTGCGAAATTTGCAAAATGGTACAGGACTTTTCGACTCGGTCTAGCCCGCTCTCTATCCGTAAATAAGAGATGAGGCGGATATTACATAACACCCTGTATAAGACTCGACTGTAAACGCCGGTCTAAGAAACTATCGCCGACGGGGGAGTTTTCACACCTTCGCCGATCGACGCGCGGAACGTTTGCGGATTTGTCGCGCGATCCTTTTCGAAAGGGTGTACCGATCACCCTCGCGGCGCGTGAAGGCCTGCGTTCACGATGCCGGAACTCAGCCCGAGTTCTAGTTTCGAGAAACGCGTAGCCAATCAACTCGCAGCTATTCCGTTAAAGCTGCAAGCTGATTGGCTACGCATTTCTCGAGGCCAGAACCTGGACCGAGTCCTATGGCATCGTGAACGCGGGCCTTCGGAGGCGCCGCGAGGGGCGACGCGACGACGACGACGGGATCCGTTATCGGGAACGCGCGAGCTCTGTTTCTCGCGTGAGATCGATCCCATCCCTCGTGAATGAGTGTATTTGGTCGGCGGCGGCGGGGGCGCGGGGGAAGGGGGAAAGGGGGAAACGGGGCACGACGCGGGAAGGATTCTACTCGCGATCGATAAAGGATTCCGGCGGATGGGATTCGCCGAATAATTTCGAATCCCGCGGATGAGAGGTGAGCGCGCGTCCCGCCGCGCGTTGTTATAAGAGGGAAAACTATTTTTCGTCGAGCCCGTATTACATTCGCGATTGCTTTCATTACGAGGATTTTCCGCGTAATGACGATGTCGCTCTGATAACCTAGTCGTCGTCCGCGTAGCCGTTTGCGAGGGCCCCCCTCCCCCTCCCCCTTCCCTCAGTGGTTCCCAAGCTCGCGGCGCGGGATCGTTTGATCTAATTAAAAGATGAGGCTTCCTCGCGACAGTCGGGCGCTGTAACCGAAGTCTGAGGAAATATAATCTTTAATTAACGTAATGCATCCTCCTTCGGCTCCTTTGTTCGCGCGCGATACAGCCGGTGCGCGCGAGGCGGCGAGCGGGAGAAACGCGATATTTTTATACAAAGGTCGACCGCGACGGGAGACGACGGCGAATTATTATCATCGAAAATTGCGAGGTGACATTTCTGTTCTCGCGGCGTCACGAAGGAGCCGGGGCCGCGCGGGATGCGAGATCGAAGTAGACCATCGCTGGAAACTTTAAGAATCGATAGCTACACGATATTATTATGTGACGCGGCGGCCTCTGTTTCAGTTCTCGCCGCCTCCCGGAAGGGGGGGGGGGGAGAGTCGCCCTCTCGTATTTGGGAAACACTGTCCGCGAGCGTAATCGATGAGGTATGCATATCGCGGGGCGATATTCAGCCGCCTCTCTCGTGACGTGACACGGCAGAAATCCACCTTCGGCTTTCATTTCCTCTTTTCCCCCGGGGCCGTGAGTCGAGATTCGGATCCATACGCGGCCCTCCTCGGCTCCCGGTGCGCGTGCCCTAATAACTCCGCCAAGATCACCCGTCCCGATAAGCGCGCGACGGGGGCCGGACCGCGCCGGTGCCGTTTCCACGACAAACGGGCGCGCGGTACGGCCGGCCTGATCAAATATAATTAACGGACCACTCCCGCCCTTCTCTCTTTCTTAGGAATTTGCTCGGGTCTGCGGGGAGTGCGCATCCAGATACCGACGGCCGTGAAGAAGGGCGACTCGGCGACGCTGAAATGTTGGTATGACCTCGAGGGCGACCCGTTGTACGCCGTCAAATGGTACAAGGGCGGTCGGGAGTTTTATCGCTACGCCCCGAATGAGAATCCGCCCGTCAAGACGTTCCCCATCGGGAACCTGACGGTGAAGGTAAGTCACCCCGTCCTCGGGCCGGAGGTGAGAGACGAGCGATCCCCTGGTGTCCCGCGGGCCGTCGCGAAATCTCGAGATCCTCCCTGCGCGGCCTCGAAAAAAAAGCGGGCGTCGAGAGAGAGAGAGAGAGAGGGAGGGGGAGGGGGCGAGGATTTATTGCGGTCGAGAAGTTGCGAATAGAACACGATAACGCCGATAGCGCCGGAACGTTACAGTTCCTGCTTGTTGTATAGCGCGCTACGTGTACCGTTCTACATATCGGCTGATCGAAGTTTTTGAATTCGAGCTGTCTCCCCACGAGAGGGGTAACTGATGGCCCTCCGGTCGACGTGCGTGCGCGCGCGCGCGCGTGCGCGCCGCCCGTCCCCCGTGTGTGGGTGTCGCGCTTTCCCTCCATTAAATTCCGTTTTTATTTTTCTTTTTAATTTTTTAACTGGACAGGAGTTTTATCGCGTTTTTTTTATTGTAGTCTTATATTCAATTTATGGCATCGCAAATTCTACAGTTTTTTTACAAATTGCATTTTTTGTAATTTACCAGCTAGAGAGAGAATCGATGACATCGTTTTATTATTTACGCCAGCGGAATCGCGCGAGTAATAATATCGTGCATGTGCAACATCGCGACGCTGCAATTGCAATTTTTTCTCCCCCCTCTCTCTCTCTCTCTCTCTCTCTGAAAGTATCTCGCCTCTAAATGAGATACGCATTCTAAACCCGCTCTATTTCAGTCCCCGCGAACGTTCCGCGGCCGCGTCGTTTGCACGCTTCAACCCAGTTGCTTAAAACGCCGTTAAATATAATTTTATGAGCGCGAGTCGAATTAAAAATTGCGCGCTTCGGACGCGCGACGGCACCGATTACGATCTAATGACGGGCTGTTACGACGAACGTCCGCGCCGGTGAGACGCAACGCGTATCCACCCGCGGCCAACGGGGGTCATTCTGCATTATTGCGCCCGCACGCGCGCGCGTGTTTATTTTTTCCCCAGCATCCGACCGTTCGGCCGCATTTTTGCGACGCGGTGCCGCGGGCGCTTTCCGCTCGCAGTTCGAAACGCAATTCGGACACCTTGCTGCGATATTCATTACCTTTAACATTGCCGATAACCGATAACGACGCGATTCTCGGCAATCGGCGGCCGGCGTATACCGGGCGGCGTGCGGAAAAAGAGGCGGAAAAAAAAACGAGCGAGCCCGAATGCATCGCGAATATTTAACGCCGCGTATGGACCGCGGGGAAGCCGGGATTCCCCGTTTGGGAATCGAACCAGGGCTAATATCGAGTAACCAGGTCGGTCGCGTGTCGCGCGATTGGCGGGAGCATTGGCCATTAATGGATTGGACGGATTCCTCTCGTAAGCGCGCCCGTTACGTACTCCCGTATGCACATGTGCATGCCGCGCGCGTCATCCAGGGGAATTCCCGCGGTCCTCGCGTCTCCGGCGATCGCTACGACAAGAACGGGAGGGCGCATGGTGTAAAGATACAAGGTGAAGCAATCTGGTGGAGGTGCAGTGGCAACCAATCAGAAGTGGCCCAGACCACGGTCTTGCATACGGGTCTGGAAACTCAGGCAAATTTTGGTGGCGGGGGTGTGCCAAAATTTAAGCCATTTTTTAGTGCACAATCTTGTTGATTGTGACAGGCGTGTCGCTGTTATCGCAAAGTGCTGTATGTAAGACCGTGGCCCGGACTACCGAATTGACCAATTAGAAATTTGTCCCGACCTTCAAACTGCAAATCATTGCGGTTGAATGCAGGAAGAGCCAACCCAAACTGCCACAGCAAGGTTTCAGCAACATTGTAGCAACGTTTCACCGCGAGATTGCAACATTGCCTAAACGCTGGGAAATGTTGCTGCAACGCTGCTGCAATCTTGCAGCAACGATAAAATGTCCGCCTGCAGAAATATTACAGTGTAATATTACAGCAACATAGCAATATAATATATGTACAATATATGCACTAATACTTTATGTATATTAATATATAAAGAACAAAATTATGAACAAATTCCGGATTTTAAAAAGTTCAGGAGCTAACAACATTTTCGTGGCAGTGTGCAGTGAACAATTTGCCCCAAAAATTGGTTACATGCGCAACGTTTCACCTTGTATCTTTATACCAGGGGAGGCCGCCTCGTGCCGAGGCGTGTCCGGTCTTAATGAATTACTGTTGTTTCGCAGAAAACGGAGAGCAACGCGACGCAGGTCGTGCTGACGAAGTTGGAATTGGAGGCGGCGGGCGCGTACAGCTGCGAGGTGTCAGCCGATGCGCCTTCCTTTCACACGGCTATAGTTAACGCGGCGATGAACGTCGTGGGTAAGTGTCTCTCCTGCCCCCCCTCGCTCCCGCTCCTCGCGCGCTTACGTTAACAACTTGGGACGCCGACGTCGCCGGCGCGCGTAAAAACGAGGCGTCGTCGCCGAGCCGGGCGATTTAACCGCTTCGCGGCGCCCCGGCGTCCGCCGCGCTGATATCGAGTTTTTGATAAGGGGAATAATAATAAGCGCGCTATTTTAAATCGCACTCTCGCCGCGATTTTTACGTTAATTATCTCACCGTAAGATCGACGAGCCGAAGCGCTTCGCGAGCCAAAACGAAAAAAAAAAAACGGGGGGAAAGCGGGGGGAATGGGGAGCGGGGGGAGGCCTACGCCTTTCGCAATTTACAGGCGGGTTGCGCGTCGAGTAATATATTTTAACAACGTAAATTGCACGTCGCTATTTTCGAGGTTCCTTCATTAAAAACGCGGCATCCGATAAATTCAGCGCGGACAACATTTTGCCGGGGCTTCCTTTCCGAACGCGCCGTAATCTATTCCGATATTACGTGCCTCCACTCCGGGGAGAAAAAGAGAGCGAGAGAATTAAATGTCTTTTTTAATTACTCGCGCGCGTCTCGCGCGCGCGCGCTCGTCACAGCCAGCCGCGAATGGGGAACAAGAAGTATAACGTATATCCGCGCCCGAGCTCGCTCGGGCGGAGTTTTCGGGGAGAGATGCGACACAAATCTTCCGCAAGGACGGGACTATTCAATTCTCGCGTCTCTCGCGCCCGCGTCAGAGAGCGGCGACATTTTTATTCGTTGCGTACTCCCCCTCCCGCCGTCTCGTCGTAAAGGCGCGACGAGGCGCGCGAATTTACGTCCTCCGTAAAAAGTGAAAAAGTAATATTTCGCCGAGCCCGGGGCTGCTGGCGGCGGCGACACGTGCAGGTGCCTGTAACGACCACGCGCGCGTGTGTGTGTGTGTGCGCGCGCGTGTATAATACGTACTCGAGGACGCGGATGCCGATGGCGAGAGACGCGGCCGCGGGCACGCGAGCGCGAATCGCTCCGTCTATCGTGAGAGAAGAATTTTTCGTACGAGGGACGCGAGAGGGGGGGGGGGCAGACGGCCGTTTCAACCCCGTGTATCGACCAACCCGTCAGCAGCCGAAAGTTTCTGACTGCGTCGGGCTTTGGGGAGCGACGACGGGTCCGGTCAAGCTCGGTCAAAGCGACAACGTCTCGATTGCACGCGAGCTCGCGCGGCGCTTGGTCGCGTGAGAGCGCGCACAGGGTGGCTCGAACCTAAACACTCAGCCCTCGCACGCGTGCTCTCGGTCTAACGGCATCTGTTCTATCGCGAAAACAACCTGGTTGAGAATCTAACCACCGAGAGTTACGTACGATTGTAAAGAGGGCTCTCTCTCTCGCTCTCTCTCTCTCTCGCTCTCTCTCTCTCTCTCTCTCTCTCTCTGTCTCTCGAGGCGGCCCTCTCATCGTCGGTTTTAATCCTACGCGGGATGAGTTTCGGCTTCACTTTGGCAAGCGTGCAACTTGAGAATTTATTGCCAATGCATTAACGTGAGAAATTGAAGATTTGCTGGGGGGGGGGAGAGAGAGAGAGAGAAAGAGAGGGGGGATGATAGTTTGCCCCCCTTGATATTCTCGCCGAGAGAAAATCTGCTTTCAACACCGCCAAGTAGTATGTATGCACGGAGACTGGGCTCTCGCCGGGGCCAGGGGCTGTGAGGTGGCTAGATCTGGAACACTCTATATATGCGGAGTATATATTGCCTTCGCAGAATTGCCCTCTGAGATGCCGTCGATACAGGGACTAAAGAGGAAATACCGCGTCGAGGATCCGCTACGTTTGAACTGCACATCCGGCCGGAGCAAACCCGCCGCGAATCTCACTTGGTATATCAACGATCGACAGGTATGCTCTAACTGCTAATGATAGTAATGCGCGCGCGGTTAGACGACGGGGTAGACGGGCGGAAAGGAACAGAGGTGGGGGGAAGGGAAGGGGGGAGGATCAGATACCTCTATTTAGTTTACCCCGGCTTTGATCCATTATCCCTGATCAAACGTCAGAGACAAGGGAGCTTATGGGATACGTTCCTCCTCGAGATGTTCCGAAGTTGGGCGGTAGAGAGAGCAAGCGTCCGCGGTGCGGAAAATAATTTAACATTCTGATCCTCGATTAGCGCACAATGTCTACGTAAATGTCTCTTAATTAAGGCTCAATCGTGGCGACGCTCGGGCAGTTTTTTAACCTTTGGAATCGCACGTCGAAATCACTTTATTCCGCTACCAAGTAATTCCTCGAGCAATTAAATCTGCTGTCCATATTTTAATAATTATCATAAATTGAACGATAAAATGCGGGGGAAACTTTTTCACAGACTTTACGGGCGGGCGCGCGCGCGCGTGTGTTTTAAAGTTGCGGGTATTTTTTACAAAGTGTAATTTGCAATGCTCAAAATAGCTCCCTTAATCACCTCACGTCAACGCACCTCCACGTAAATTATTTCGCGTGCTAGGCACGAACGCATGATCGTCGGAAAATTGAATTCGCCGCGCTACCAAGAATTTATATAACAGCGGCATTAACGATACGCGAGGCAGCGCGAATCTACTTTTTCACCCGCGTAGCGCGATATCAGTATTTATTTCATCTCTTAACGGCCCATTATACTATCGTCAACTCGTCACGGTCGTCAAATGAAATTTAATTAAGCTTAGTTTTTCAACATTAAATATATTCGGGCTTATCTACGTCCGAATATACGCACAGCTCCAACGTATACGTGTCTAATTGCAAACGAATTAACAATTTTTCCGCATTATTCACGGTACATTTTTGCACGCGCGCGTTTATATCTACATGGCGATGCGAATAGCGGATCTTTATCGAATCCCGGTTGACTAATTTACTTATCTTTTCTGTTTCCCCCTCCCCCCTCTCTTTCTCCCCTTTCAGCCTCTCAAGTCGCACGTCCGCACGTACGGCCCGCTCGACACGAACGAATCGGAGTGGCAGATCTCGCAAATTGGGCTCCAGTTCCTGGTTACGCACGATCACTTTGTCAGCGGCAAGCTGAAGATACGCTGCAGCGCGTCGATATACGACATTTATTGGCAGAGCACGGAAGTCAGCGCCGAGGAGGACCGGCCGCGGGTGATACACTACGAGCCGGCCGCGACTATCGTCGGCATCAACTACCTCCAGCCACCGCCAAATTTTCAGACCGGCCAGAAGAAGCCCGACGGCCAGGTTGGGGTGAAAGGTAAAAAGAGAGCCTCGTCCACTTCTCCACGTCGTAATTTCGTCTTCTTTGTTAACGAGAGGGGGCCGGTCCTCGCGGATATCTCGATCCTCGATTACTTATCGAAATTGGAGTCACCGCGGAAATCTGAACGCGAACCGGGCGCGGGTCCACTCGCTTAGAAAGCGGTCTATTTTGTTTCCGCCCGAACAACATCCGGCGGGCTTGACGCCCTTTGCTCTTTGAGCTTGCTTTGAAACACAGTCGTTCATTCAACAAGCCAGCGCCGCGTTAAAGCCGCCATCTGAATTCCTCCGCTCGCGCGACTTAATCCCCCGTGAAAGAAAAACAAAGAGTGCGAGAGATCGTGTTATCAGAGCGTCTCGTTCGATAATTTTTCAGTGCTGGGATCGTCCACGGTGAGCCTGCGGCCGTCGGCGAGGATCGTTTTGGAATTGTTTGCGCTTCTTCTAATCGTCATTCGTTAAAGGCATATAGTGCATCGCTCGAGGAACGCGCTTTGGAACACTTTGCGTACGTCGACGTGTTTGTGAGAGAAAAGGAGGAGAAGGAGGAGGAGGAGGAGGAGATGAAGGAGAAGGAAGACAAGGAGGAGGAGGAGGGCTCGAGAGGCGCTTTGTGCGAGGATGACGTTTCCTCTATGGGATCGCCTCGGATCACCACGCAGCAGCGATATACAACCGTGGGCGAAAACAGGGAGCTCCTTGGGTCACGTCACAGCGACGGCGACCTGAAAGGCCTTGCTCGAATGGCGGAGGAATGGAAGTGACGGGTCGCGACCGAGGATTCGATTGGCCCCGGACGGCGCGGCGGGAGAGAAAAAAAAATCGCGGACGAAGGGTCGAACTCCCCCGCTCCCCCTCCTCCTACCCGCGAGATGATTTATCCGACGTTCACTCATCCGACGATCAACGAATGTCCAAACAGCACTACAGCGACGACAGACACGGCTGGATATACATATACTCGCGACATATACTCGGGAGTTATTTTATTATTATTAGACCATGTACTCTCTTGCTTCCTTCCAGCGGGGATAATGTGTTTGCAATGTGTAGGTATACGTATACATACATATAGTACGTTTCGTCGCATCATACGAGAGGATAGTTTTTTTTTCGTACTTTTATAACTCGGAAGGAGACTATAACGTAGCATGAATGTACGTGCGTATTCCTCGACAGCGTAAAAAGACATGTACACGATTGATGCGGACACATCACACACGTACACGTATACACGAATGTGTATGTACGCGACAGACACGGCTACGTAAGATCACTCGTTACAGGCCGTATACACACACGCGCGCATACACACATGTATGCGTACAGTTACACACACATAGACACGTCTACTGCCACACTTTTTTCTCTGTACGAATAACTGATAAGTAAAAGTGTTCGAGAAAAAAAATATATATATATTGCGGCCCGCCTAAGTATTTTACAGTGTGCGAGATGATGTACCTGAATCGGATATTCGTGCGAACTTCTTTTTTTGTGTTGCTATTTAGGGACTATGTATTATATAATAAGCGAGGAGAGAGAGATGTGCTATATCGAGTTATGGTAACGACACAACTTTGTGTATCTCGGTCATTCCATTTTGCATTAAAGCGTAATTAATTTACCAACGAGGCTGATTTAATTGATGTACAGTACGACTTATGGAGTTTATTATAAATTCATTAAGTATATTGTCGCTGTGTTTCCTTGTGTGTGACCTGCAGTTCTTACTTCTCTTATACATGATTCAAGCCGCGCACTCTGATGCATCGTGCATGCAGACTCTAATGTCTGTGCGTACGCAAACCATTCGTCAAACATCGGCTGATAACACCGTAAATCATACCGCGCGCCGTTGTCGACACTCATTTTTATCCCGAACGCATTCCTGGCGGATATTTCTATGTATTTCCACATAAAGGTCGCGTTCGAATCGAATCAACTCAAATATGCCACGAAACAAGGTTAAAACATAAGAATAGGATAAGTCTGGAGGAATAATTTGAAAATGCCATTTAACCTTAATTCTGTCCATGTTATCTTTTTACGTCGTAAAAACTTATAAAATGTTATCTTTTTAGGTCGTAAAAACTTATGAAATTTTTATCTTTTTACGTCAGAGGTGGACGTCGTCCAGAATATAATCGTTTGCTTCCTCGCAGTGCTGTTTACATACGTTTAAATTGACACCCGTGTAAAAATATATTTATACAATAATAAGGGTGAAACAATACGAGCGAGGCAATTGTTCACGTTAAGCGGCAAACTTTCGTTGTGCGTCAATTGTCTCGCCGACGCGCCGAGTCAATGGCGCAATTTTGTTTTCTACGCTAGAGCAAAGATCCCGTTGAAACGATCCGGATCGGTTTTAAAACAATGCGCGGCTGAATCATGCACGAGCGCAAAGAAGAGGGCCGGCCGTGGACCGGCCGCGAAAACGCCCGATTCCCGTGAACATTAAATAAAATATCATTCGCCAAAAGCGCGCGTTAATTCGCCTGGCGGAATCGAGGAGCGCCGCTTTGCGGATTATTATATTTATTTATGCATGACCGCCGTGTGTGTACGCCGTTAATGTGATAACTCAATTATTGCGCGCTGTAATGTTTACCCTGCGCCGTTATGCGAAATGTATAACCGCGCGGATACTTTTGATACTTGTGCCCTGCCGCGTTTGCAATTGTGGCGCCAGGGAAATCGGATTAGCGCGCTAAAATATCACGTCCGCTGACGTCTTATTTTTCTTTTACGACCCCCTCGAAAATACAGTCAGCATTACCTCTCGTGTCTGTAGCGACAGATTTTTCTAACTCTAACATTGTAAATTCGCGTTGTCGAGTATCGGCGCGTTAATCCTGCGGCAAACCGCAGTTAAATAATTTTCAGGATGACATTTTGATGAGCCCCCAAGGAGAAACGCCGGCGATTATTTGAGAATTCATCTTTAACGAGACCTCGCGAATGTGCAAATCTAGACAGTTACGACGAGATCGCTCGAAAAGTCTTCGATATTCTTCTCTTTTATCTCATAAGGATCTCGTTGAATAGCTGAAGTCCTCGTAGAACGCGACAGTAACAATCCGTAAATGCGACTGCAGTTTTCCGCGGGTTTACGGGACTGCAACACTCGATAACGAAGGGGTTAGAGCAAACGTTCCGTGGGCAAAAGTCTCGAAATTTCCCCGTAAATTCATACGCCTCCTATCGCGCTTCAATCGAGCGAATAAATTCCAAGGAAACGATTGAATCCGAAAAAACGACGTCCCGCCCGAAGAAATTCAATACTGAAGTTACGCGGGCTAAGCCGTCGTTGATTTTACGTCGAGGCGCGGAGCGTATCTTATAGCGAATTCAGTTGCTTGCACTAAGGTCAGTTTATAGTCAATTTTTATATTAAACTTTGAGTTTTTGATTGAGTACACGTTCAAAGAGTACTTAGTCAAAAAAATGATCCGTACGGATACTACAGACTGTTTTACTGGCTGCGAAATGTCTCAAGAAATACTTAAGACGATTCTTTAATAAAAATTGACTGTAAACGAGTCACTAGCGCGCACTCTCGGCGCGCACTAGTGCAAGCAACCGAATTCGCTATTGCAAGTGCGCGCCCTAACGAGAACAAAGAAGTCGTTGGGCACTAACGAGTCACCGCCTCATCACCGAGCCTCGGATCCCCGATGCTGTTGACGAGGGCGGCCTTCATCTACAACCAACGGGGTAAACCGTGTACGCATCTCTTATTTACTACGCCGATACACGGGGATGCCGTCTTCCACGCCTCGGGGGCGAGACTCGTGCTCGGCGAAATAGCCGGCCTCGTTCTTCGAGTGCGGTCCACGGGGCTAGGAGCGGCTGGCAATCGATCCGAACCGGACCGTGGGCGCGCGGGCGTATACGCTCGGGGAAACCGGGATACACCGCGGCCCCGGTACGCGGATACGCTCGCACACGGACGAGGGTCTCCGTTGCCTGGCGACGGGGAAAACTGGCGCGGCGTCACGTCGCGGTCGGGGACGTCGAGGAAAGATGAGGGCCGCCGCGCAGTCCGGGTGATCCTCTCAACGAGGCGGCGGCGAGAGGAGAAATTCGCGCCGCGTGCGGCCCGCGTGAAACGGCGCGAGACCCCGTTCCCGTCGCCGAGTGCGCGAGTTCCTGCCCTCACGGCAACCTCCGGGACCGATCGCCGCGGGCGCGGATTGGCGCGCGGGTTCGACGGGCGGTAAATTTCCACGGCCGTTTTTCAACCCCCTCCCCCGAGGATCGATTTTCCCGGTGGCATCGATACGCGCGTGAGTCGCGCGATCTCGTATCGCGCGTCTCCCGTATAGAGATGTAAAACGAGACGGGGCCCCGGCAGCCGGCGCAATCTTAATGCAAGCGCGTTAATACGCGGGTAATGTATTCCGCGCATCCGATCTTCCGAGGGAAATTGCTTCTCGCGCTGCCGCGCGTGCACGCGTGCCACGCGCCACCCCCGCGAATACCCGACAGCCGCGTCGCGGGATTACTCCTGGTGTATTTCCACTGCGACCTTTGACGCGCGGATTCGGTTATTAATATACGCGCGAGAGCGCGTCCCGGCCGCCTCGCGGAGGTCGCGCGTGGGTCGCGGCGACGGCGGATCCGGGGCACTGCGACTGACGGGTGCCATCGATCCTCGGGTCGCGTCCCCGAATCGCGAGATCTCTGGCGCCGGACCAGCAGCGGCGGAAGCGCGCAAATACACCTCGTTGGACCGCTGCCCGAGGAGTCCCGTCATGGAGTCGCCGCCGGAGGAGGGTGAGTCCCGGGGATGCATGCCGCCTGCGTACGCGCACCTGCCGGTGCGGTGCTTCTCCCCCCCCCTCTCACCCCCCGAGGCTGCCGCGGCGATTTCGCGAGACGCGTGTTCGCGCCGAGCGAACTGCCGGACGCCGTTGCAGGTGAACTCGCGCGGAATTGGCCGCTTGCCGCTAATTTCTATGCACGACGCCGCGCCGCGCGTGGATGCGTCAGTCGACGTTTATTTTCGGAAACCGGCAAATCCCCCGGCGGATTCCCCGCGGGGAGAGCGCTCGCTTATCTTTAAAAGGGTGTATAAAATTTTCATTCGGTCGACTACTGGTAAACTCCTCCGGCGGTCGGAACTAACGGACGTCGCCGTCCCGCGGTTATACTCTCACAAATGTGAGAACACACTCTGGAAATAAAGTATTCGAAAGAGGAGCACTCGATATCAATTTATTTGCTGAAATAGCGCGACGTTAGACGATCGAACGGTGTCGAAGGCGCCTATGTGTGCGCTCGCTCTCGTTTCCCGTCGTATTTACGCTTCCACGCGAGGCTGCGCGCGAGCGACGAGGAAACGATGTTCCCGATAAAACCCGGCCGAGCTGACCGACAGCCGAAAATTTCGCGGTCGGAGAGACTGCACCAGCTGCACTCGTTCCACCTGGCGCACCGGGTTTAACGCCGGTGCCTTTCCAGGAACACGGGGCCCGGGGAGAGAGAGAGAGAGAGAGAGGGGAGGGCAGGAGGGAAGCGAAGATAATCGCGCCCGATATTTCCGCC